CCCCAAAACCCCAAAACCCCAAAACCCCAAAACCCCAAAACCCCAAAACCCCTAAAATATTTATTACAAATGAAACTGGGTATTTAATACTTGAGCATAGGAATATAGAGCTTACAGTACTATCCTCCAAAGGGGTTTAGGTCAAATATGTTCCCTTCATCCCTTTTCATATTTCTTTGCATGTCATTTCTCTGTCCCATGGGTGGGTTCATCGGCTTAGGAGCTGCAAACATCTGCTTGTTATTTCCGTATTGGTTCACTGGAGTCTTTCCAACAGGATAAGCTGGGAATGACATACCAGGCATCATATTAGGACTTGGCCCAAATATCGAAGAAGTATCTGGCTGTTGGCTAGGAGAGAATCCAGGATTAAATCTAGCTAAATTTGTCCTCATTGGGGTGTATCCTGATGGGGAAGCGCTCACTTGGTAGAAGTCAGTGTATCCCATATCATTTTTATTTACAGGTGTTGATAAAGTTTGTCCCATAGCAGTAAAATTCCTGTTCATATTATACATATTCATTCCAGAAGGATCTCTCATGTTGTCATTCCGAGGCACCATAGGGCTGTACATAGGAACCATATTGGGACTTACACCAGGGCTCCGATTCGGAATAAATGGCATCGGAGAGAAGGTAGGATTTCTATTCATATTGTTGTATGCATTTGATTGAGAAATATCAGTGGAGGCATTTCCCCCTTCTTGGTATGGACCCATATTATTTGCAAAACCCATATCCTTTCTGGGAGGTAATGGATTTGGAGAAGGCTGATTAAAACCCATTGGTCTTGATTCTGGCAAATTAAATCTAATAGACCCATCTTGGTGAGGAGAACCACTCATATTTTGATTGTAATCTCTTGGCTTACTCTTTATTTTCTGTTGTTGAGAAGATTTCTTTTCTCTATCAGGATAGCCCATTTGTTCTTTATCAGTCCGAAATTCTTGTTGATAATCTCCAAAGCTTCTTTGCTCTTTAAAAGAGTCATGCTCTTCTTCAAATGTCTGAGCCTTAACCTCAGCTGCTTCTGAGGTTTTAGCCCTTTTATTTTTAGTTTTAGCTACTTGTTTCTCACCAAAAACTGCTTTTTCATAAAATTCTCTCTCTTTGTTGCTCATCTGGTTCCACTGCTGACTGACTTGTTTTAGGATATTTCCTTGTGACATGGTGGGATTTTCTCTTCTAATCCTTTCTTCAGCCTCCTTACTGAAGTATTGGAATGCATTCGTAGGATCATAAGAGGCCTTGCTACTATTCCTATTTCTTTTCCCTCCTATTTTTACTAGAAGAGACTTACCACTCAGAGAGCTGGGATTGCCCTTCTGAAAATCTTGATTTTGAGTTTTATTTTGTGCTTTGAGCTTACTATTCAGCTGATCAAGTTCTTTTAGATACTGCTGGTTCTCTCTTTTGAATCTTTCTTTATCTCTATTAGCAAGTTCTTGATAATGGTTCTTGTCTTCAGGAGTGATATTTTGCCACCTTCTTCCAACCTCTTTCATAACGTCCAGAGCATTCATATCAGGGAATTCTTGAGTTACTCTGGTTCTGACCTCTCTTACAAAGATCATGTAGCTAGAGAGTCATTTCTTGGGTCTTTTTAGTTCATTATCGTTCATTTTATGCTGCTCTTTGAGACGTTGCATCTCTTCCATCTCTCTTTTATATCTCTCTTTATCTTTTGCGGCCATGGATTGGTACCAAGCCTTTTCACTGCCTGTAATATTTTTCCACAATCTTCCGATTTCTTTCATTAATTCTGGAGTAGTCTTTGTAGGATCTTCCTCTTGTAGCTTTTTCCGTTGAACTTTGACAAATAGAGTGTATGCAGTCAATGATTTCTTTGGATGGGAAAGTTTTCCGTCTCTCTTTGCAAAATTCGAAACAATCTCTTCCTCATAGTTTCTTTGAGCAGCCTGTTCAACCGAATCATTGTCCTGGCTGAATTCCTTGCCTTCCTCGATCTCTTTGTAGTTAATTTGTCTTCCCTTTTTCGTAGATATCCTGGTACTTCTTCTAATGTTTGAATCTTTGTTAGAACTCATCTATAAAAATTATTGTTATCTTGAATTCAAAGGCCTTGCTGCTTGGCATTATTCCGGTAGCTAGAATGTAAATTGCATAAGAATTATAGATAACTAAAAAGCTGATACTTAATAGCTGAACACTGCTAGGATCTATTTTTATTTAGCTTCACCGCTTCCCACCCAGCTCAACTTGTGCTCAAGGATACGTTTTATTCCCAAATTCGTTAAAGGTATCCTTCAAGATGGTATTATAGGGCACTAAGGCAAGGTAGATGGGTAACCGCTAAGTTCCCGTTGAGGCCCCTATTCAAATAGGGCAGGTAATGTTTATCGGAGGCTTACATATTTTCTTGTATACAAATAATCAATCAATATATTTAAAAACAATAGTTCAATTTAGTGCTAGATTAAGGGGTTTTGGGGTTTTGGGGTTTTGGGGTTTTGGGGTTTTGGGGTTTTGGGGTTTTGGGG